TTGTGTCGAGGGGCGGCAGCGCGCCACCCCTCACTCCTCCTCGTTCCCTCCCACAGAGGCTCCCTTGCAGACTCTTCACCTGGACGTGTGGGGCCCGGCCCGCGTCCGGGGACAGGGCCACGAGCGGTACTTTCTGCTGGTCGTCGACGACTACACGCGCTACACCACGGTCTTTCCCTTGCGCACCAAGGGTGAGGTCCCTGATGTTTTGATCCCTTGGATCTGCGCTGTTCGTCTCCAGCTCCGCCAGCGGTTCCAGTCGGACTTTCCCGTCCTGCGTCTGCACTCTGACAGGGGTGGTGAGTTTTCCTCCGACCTCCTGGCCGCCTACTGTGCGGAGCACGGCATCCGCCAGACTTTCACGCTTCCGGACTCCCCACAGCAAAATGGGGTTGCTGAGCGCCGCATTGGTTTAGTCATGGAGGTCGCCCGTACCTCCATGATCCATGCGGCTGCCCCCCATTTCCTGTGGCCGTTTGCAGTGCGGTACGCTGCGCATCAGCTCAACCTTTGGCCCCGTGTCTCTGCTCCGGAGACCTCGCCCACACTGCGTTGGACGGGGGAGGTTGGCAATGCGTCGCGCTTCCGTGTCTGGGGATGCCGAGCCCTTGTTCGCGATACGTCCGCGGACAAGCTCTCCTCCCGTGCCGTTCCCTGCGTCTTCTTTGCTTTGTCCCTGACGCGCCTGGCTGGCAGTTTTACCACCCCACCTCACGCCGTGTCTTTGCGTTTCTCTCAGAACGTCACCTTTGACGAGTCGGTGCCCTTTTACCATCTCTTCCCCTACCGCACTGCCCCCCTCCCTCCCCCGCCGCTTTTCCTCGCTCCAGGTCCCCCTGCACTAGACCCCCTTCCCCCTCAGGGTCCTGCTCCCTCAGGTGTCTCTCAGGTAGACCCTCCTCCCGTCGCTGAGCCTGTCGAGGTCACAGGTGACTCAGGTGCTGCTGCGGGTGGTACTGCTGGGGGTGCTGAGCCTGGGGGTGCTGAGACTGGGGGTGCTGAGCCTGGGGGTGCGGAGACTGGGGGTGCTGAGCCTGGGGGTGCTAAGCCTGGGGGTGCTGAGTCTGGGGGTGCTGAGCCTGGGGGTGCTGAGACTGGAGGTCCTGACTCTGGTGGCGCTGGAGTTGGAGGTTCTGGAGCTGCTGGAGCTACCACTGGAGCTGGAGGTTCTGGAGCTGCTACGGGTGCTGGCGCTGCGGGTTCTGAGTCTGCTGTTGCGCGGTCTCCTTGGAGTAGCCGCCTTCGTACGCGTGTGCCTCTCACCTCCCAGCAGCTGCGCGACTGGTACGGTCGCCGTCAGCGTCGCGCTCCTGTAGCTCGGGACTCTGCTCCTGTCGGTACTTCCACTGACGTCACTGGAGCCGAGAGTGGTGCTAATTTGTTGTCTCCTGGGGGTGCCCACGTCGCTGGTCCCGGAGGTGCTCGTACCGCTGGTACTCGAGCTGCTGGGGCTGGTGGTGCTGTGTCTGAGGGTACTCCTACTGGGGACACTGCGACTGGGGGTGCTGGTTCTGGAGGCGCTGCTGCTGGTGGAGACTGTCCTGGAGGAGTTGCCGCTGGGGGTGGTGGAGCTACTGGAGGTACGGGAGTTGCTGTAGGTGCTGGAGCTGCTGGTGCTGGCAACACTACACTGACGCGCCTGTTCTTCGCTCCGCCGTCTCCGTCGTCTCTGCCGCCGCCTGACTCTGTCCTTCACCAGGTTCTTAGTCTTCCGTCTTCTACTGGTCTTCCCCTCCTGCCTGACTCACCGCTTCCTGCTCCTTCTCCTTACACTGAGCAGTCAGGAGGTCTTACTGAGCGTCGTGAGCCTGCGTCGCGTCCTGTCTCGCCAGTTCGCTCTGGTCGCCCCGTTCGTCATGTTCCGAGTTCGAGGTCGCCGACTGTCCCCGGCACGCGCCTTGTCGTCCGTCGTCCTTCCTCTGTTCCACAGTCTGTTCCTCTGCCGTCCCCTCCTGCGTCGTCTTTGCCTCACGTTCCGGACCCTGAGTCTGACCGGTTTCGTGCTGAGCACCCTACTGTCACGCGTCTGCTAGCCACTATTGTCGCAGACCCCTCGTTTGAGTCTTCTGCTGCGTCTGCCTTGGTCGCTGAGCTTGTGGACTTTGCTGCTGCCTGTCGTCTAGACTACGCTGCTAGCCTTGTTGCTGAGTCTGAGTCTTTCTGTCCTCCGTCCGTCGGGGGTGAGTGTGCTCTTGGCACGGACGTCCTTGAGGACAGGCACGAGGACCTTGAGTGTCTTACAGCCGCTGCGCCGCATCTCGTGGCCATGCTGCTTGCCCCTGAGGGAGACCCGGATGCTATAGACATCCCTACCCCGCGATCTTACGCTGAGGCGATCATAGGTCCCTACTCCTCTCAGTGGCAGGCAGCCATGGACGTAGAGATGGCATCCTGGAAGTCCACTGGCACTTACGTCGACGACGTTCCCCCTCCTGGGGCAAACATCGTCAGTGGCATGTGGATTTTCAGGGTGAAGCGGCCGCCGGGTTCTCCGCCTGTCTTCAAGGCTCGTTACGTTGCCCGAGGCTTCAGTCAGCGAGAGGGAGTCGACTTCTTCCAGACCTTCTCCCCCACCCCGAAGATGACCACTCTTCGGGTACTACTGCACGTTGCCGCTCAGCGTGACTACAAGCTTCACTCTCTTGACTTCAGCACAGCTTTCTTGCAGGGCAGCCTGCACGAGGAGATCTGGCTGCGCCGCCCTCCTGGCTTCACTGGGTCGTTTCCTCCTAGTACCCAGTGGAGCCTCCGCCGGCCGGTCTACGGTCTCCGCCAGGCACCTCGTGAGTGGCACGACACACTGAGGACTACACTTGCGGCTCTTGGGTTCGCGCCTTCTACTGCTGACCCGTCGCTGTTTCTGCGCACCGACACTTCGCTGCTGCCGTTCTACATCCTCGTGTACGTCGACGACTTGGTCTTTGTCACTGCTGACACTGAGGCTCTCGCCCACGTGAAGTCCGAACTGCAGAAGAGACACACGTGCACAGACCTGGGTGAACTGCGCAGCTACCTTGGCTTGCAGATCACCCGGGGCAGAGCACGCCGCACCATTACACTGACTCAGTCACACTTGGTGCAGCAGGTCCTTCAGCGCTTCGGCTTCACCTCTTCCTCAGCACAGGCCACTCCTCTGGCTATAGGTCACTCGCTCTCAGCTCTGCCTTCGGATGAGTCCGTAGAGCCGAGTGGTCCTTACCCAGAGCTAGTTGGTTGCCTCATGTACCTGATGACTTGCACTCGTCCTGACCTAGCGTACCCTCTTGGCCTTCTGGCCCGCTACGTGGCTCCTGGTAGGCACCGAAAGGTGCACTGGGAAGCTGCGAAGAGGGTAATGCGCTACTTGTGCAGTACATCGGGCATGGGGCTCGTGCTTGGAGGAGGGAGCCCAGTTGTTCTCACTGGGCACTCAGACGCTTCTTGGGTTGACGACCAGGCTACTCAGCGGTCGTCACAGGGTTACACCTTTAGCCTTGGCTCTAGCTCAGTTTCTTGGCGTTCTACTTGTTCGTCTTCAGTTCTCAGCTCCAGTTGTGAGGCTGAGATCTACGCCACAGCCATGGCTGCTCAGGAGTTACGCTGGCTCACCTACCTGCTGACCGACCTGGGAGAGCGGCCTCGTTCTCCTCCAGTGCTGTACGTTGACAACAAGGCTGCCATTGCCTTGTGTGAGGAGCACAGACTGGAGCACAGAACGAAGCACATTGCTCTGCGGTACTTTCTGGCTCGAGAGTTGCAGCAGCGTGGTCAGCTTCGTCTGCGTTACGTGGCCACTCAGGCCAACACTGCTGATATATTCACCAAGGCACTTCCGCCTAGTGATCATCAGCGTTTCTGTACTTTGTTAGGCCTTGTGCCCACCTTTTCTCACTTGTTGTAGGCTTTGTCTGTACTGTGATCTATATATATGTGTACCTGCATACTTGCTAGATATAGATCACTGTGATGCTTGTACTACATATATGCCTCTGCATGTGAACTGGCCTTGTGGCTCTTTGCTTGTGCTCAGAATGCGTGGTGACGTTGTGATCCACCCTGAGCTTACTTGCCTTTCTTGACTGGTCTTGTGACCCCTTGCTCTCCCCCACTTTGCCTATGGGGGTGTGTCAAACACTGTACATGTGTTGTTACTTTGAAGGCTACAGTGGGTTAGCCTTTAGGGGGTACACAATTCTAGGGTTTTCTTACTTGTACTCCAATTGTCTCATAGTCAAATCACTTCGTGTTTCTGACAGTCTGTGCAAGTATTTTATAATAACTCATGCGAGGGAGGAGAGGGGGAGTGGGCGGGTTTTGGGGGGGGAAAGTAGTGTAATTATTTCGATGCCATATAACTGACTGTGGATGTTCTAGAACTTGAAATGCTTATCAGAGGTTAGCATCAGGGCAAATTTTATCAGTGTAAATCACCCTGATACCCTGATAATCAGGGTGGTTTTTGATAGTCACTCTGATGGCCTAGGGTTTTTTTCTTTTTGGAGATTGATTTACCCTGATGTGTCAGTTTTTTTGTTTAAGGCACACTGATGCCCAAGGGTTTCCGGATCCTGTATGGAGTTTTACCCTGTAACTCGTAACCTACCCCCCCCCCCCCCCCCCTTCCCCCGGTACACCCACCCCCCTTTCCCGTAACCTGGGATTCCACCAAGGCAACAGTCCGGCCTCGACAACTTATGTGCTGGCACACAGTGGGCCACTATTGGCCAGGGTTACAGTTTCCATGTTGGCACCGCCACCTCCGCCAGTTGGTCTGTTTGTCTGACTTGACAACAAGGCCGGGTTAGCAGGAAACTTGGCTGACTGCAGCAACAAGTCGGTGCCCACTAGCCCACTGGGCACCGCGTTCCTTGCACGACTGTGTCTGGCTCTGCAACTTGTTTGCGTGCACGTTAGGAAACAGAGGCAAGAAAGGAACACGTTAGAGGTTTCACCTTGCAAGAACACAACACTCACGCCAAGTAGAGCAACGTAGGCAGTTTTTCTGATTCTCGTTTGGAGCCATGGCTCCTGCAGAGGACGGCGACGGTGAAGCTGCTGACGAGCCATCGAAGGATGCGCCTGCGCGAACAGGCCTGGATTTTTTGTGCGCGCTGCATGCGAACCCTCCGCCTGTGGTCACTCTAGGCACGTCATCTTGCAGCAAAGGGAAAGAGAGTGTGTCAAAGCCGCCTGCTTCCAATGCCGTCGCGCCGGACAGTGCTCCCGCCACTGTCAGCGTGACAGAGGTGGGCGAGTCATCGTCTGCAGCCTCGAAGAAGAGGCGTCGCTTCGCGCAGGCTGTTTTACCGTTCGGCACGCCACCAGCGAAACCGACTCCGCCTCCCGCTCCAGTCTAAGCTCCGAATCGTGTCTCCCGTGAACTCACCGACGCCGAGAAGGCTGAGGAGAAATTTTTGAAGGCGCAACAGCTATACATTTCGCAGTGGCTGCCGAAGTTTGACTGGCTGCTGCTGGACAAGAACGAGGAGGGGCTGCTCATTCTGCGATGCAGCATTTGCGTGGAGCACGGAAAGGACGATGCGAAGTTCGGACGGAACGGAACGGGAGGGCGCGATCTGCAGCTGGGATCGATGCGATGCCACGAGCTGAGCGGCCGCCACGACGAAGCCATGAAACGGCAGCAGACGCTCATGGCGGAGATCGAGAAACAGAAGAGGATCGACGACTTCGCCAACACCGACAAGGAGGGGGCGCGGCTGACCCATCTCATGCGTGACGTGGAGTTCATCTGCGGCCACGACGCACCAATCGCGATGTTCCCGAAGCTCATAGGCTTCCTCGCGGAGGAGGGAGTCGAGGACATCCCGCTTCAGTCCTACGGCGTGTACATCACACAGTAAGCGTGGGCTTGTTGATTGTTTCAAAATTCACAGCCGCAACTTATGGTTTACCATTCCATCTGTATCTAACCCTAGGCACCCCGTCGTGTGGCAGGTACGGATTCAACGAAATGGCCTCAGCGATGGCTAAGAACCAGAAAACACAGCAGCTGCAGCATCGTCTCGCTTCACCATTCATCGGACTTACATGCGACGAGAGCACCGATCGCGTTCGCGGCAAACATTTGATCGTGTTTGCCACCTTCCTAAAAAACGGCGTGTCCGCCACGAAATTTCTGGCGCTGCTGACAGTGCACAAGTGCGACGCTTCCTCGCTTTTCACCGTGCTCACAAGCCACCTGGAGTCTGTTGGGGTGGACATTAAGCGGGTGTCCGGCATCGGCACCGACGGAGCGTCTGTGATGACCGGGGAGAAGAGCGGCCTGGTTAGCCGTTTGCAAGAGCACGTGCCACATCTCGTCGGATGTCACTGCGTCGCGCATCGGTGAGCTACGCTTAAATGTTTTCTCACAGTATTCGCATGCGATGCTGTACATCCGTTCTGACAGCTTTACTCATCTACCATTTGGGTGTACTGCAGGGAAGCCCTGGTGGTCAAGGATGCTGCGAAGGCTTACCCCGACCTGAACATGATCGACGCTGCTGTGCGAGCCGTGGGAGAGATCCAGTACGGCGACACCTTTGGCGGCGGGGTCAGCAAGCACCTTTCCAAGTTCATCAAGCAGCACGGTGGTGAAAATCGGACGGTGGTGGTCGAAGGGATTGACGCGAAGGGGCGGCAAACATCACACAAGTTCGAGCTGAGCGAGACCCCAATCAAGAAGCACAAGTTTGGGGGCACGCTTGCTGACTGCGAGAAGCTCTGCACGTGTTTCGCGAAGGAAATTGTCGCACGCATGAAGTACCGTATGTGGGACTTGCAGCAGTTGGGCGGCGCAAAGCTGTTTCAAGTTGAATCATGGCCGAGCAGAGATGAACAGCGTGAATTGAAGACCCTCGAGTGGCTGGCCGCTAACGATGAGCTGTTTGGCGGCATGCTTCCAGGTGAGCTGTGATTTATCCGTTCGTATGATACGATTTTCCACATGCATGTCACCAAGTATCGGACAACCACCGCTAACTACATCCAATGCCCCAAACCCCTTCCCCGTCAGGATTTGATTTCAAGGCGGCCAAGAAGGAGCTGAGGAGCTTTTGTCACATCATGCCACGCCATCAAGCGGGAGAGGATTTTCACCAGGGCCTTCAAAACATGTTGAAGAGCCGGGATTGGCGACGCAGCTATCCGAACCTCATGACACTCTGGCAGGCCCTCGCTGTGCTGCCACTGAGCACAGTGGAGTGTGAGAGAGGGTTCAGTCGCCAGAACATCATCAAGAGTTGGATGCGCACATCACGCCTTGGCGACCTCATGACGCTGCACATGCTGAAGTACCCTTACGTCTGGCCAGACATGGTGGATATCTGGCGCAAGCAGAAAACGCGCAGGCCGGCGAAGTCAGTTGCGCCTGCGATTCCAGTGGATCGGAAGGGGAAGCAGAAGGCACCAGAGCCAGAGGAGGAAAGTGACCACGATGCACTCCCTTGTGGCATGTCTGATGATGATGACTAAAATCTGTATTGAGTGCAGCAGAAAAAAATTATGACCAGGCTTTACAACAACCTTACACTGATGCGACAGGGTAAAATTTTAGGAAGTCCCAAAAACCCTGACGAGAAAGTTTTTTCTTAGAGGTCACACTTATAATCAGTTTTTTGAGCTAGAGGTACACTGATCTTAAGGGTATGTCAAATCCAAAAAAATTCCCTGGTTAGCATTTCAATAGCTTCACACCTAGACTACCAAGAAAGTAGGCGGATTGGAATGTGGAGCTCCACTTTCTTGGAATGTGAAGATATTGTGATAAATTTGAAGTAACTTTGCCTGCAATGGGATGGGACCAGTGGAAATCTTCGGCGTGCAGCTAATATCGGATCTTCCCGCGTTCACCTCCCCCTCACACAAACACATATCTCGAGGTGCTGTCGCGTCAGTCCCACGAGTCATCACGTGTCAGCAGCTGAGCTGCCGACATGGCGGCTGTGTGCCATTTTCTCTCCACGATCTCCGGCTCGTCTAGACGAATTGTCAGCCGCCACGTTTTTTACTTCGCAACTCTCCGCCATTATCAACCAATCCCCGCTCGAGCCGCTTCACGAGTCGCGAAGGCTCGACCTCAGGAATGCCTCGGGCAGGCGATTCGTTTCAAAGTGACCTCGTCGTTAGCCCAGGTCCGGGCAGCCGGAAAAATATCATGTTCAGACGAGCAGACGGTACAGGTGGGTAGCACTGGCGGTTTCTTTTTGTCGTTTTCTGCTTGACACATGGCAGTCGCGCGTTGCTAACGGCTCCTTTTCCGTTTTGCGTGGATCGTGTTCGTCGTCCAATCGCGCTCATTCCGTCCAGAATGACACGTGGCAGGCGCTGAAGCGGCTCACGTTGGGAGACGCCGCGGAGAGCTGCCCCGTAGAAGTGCGCGATGGGGGGAAGACGGGCGGAGGGCGGTAAGCTTGAAGGGGGTGGGGGGGAGACGGGCGTGGGGCGGTAAGCTCGGGGGAGGGGGGAAGAGGGGGGAGGGAGGGGGGGGGGGGAAGAGTCGGGCGTGGGGCGGTAAGCATGGGTAGCGAGCAGCCGAATGAGTGGGGTAGGAGTGGGGGAGGGATGGGGAGAATGGGAAAACACCATCTTCTTCAGCATATCATTTCTTCGCACAGCACCAATGAAAAGCCTTTTTCTCTCCACCATTGTCCCACACTGCCTTTTTCTCTCCACCATTGTCCCACACTGCCTTTTTCTCTCCATCATTGTCTCTCACTGCCTTTCCAACAATCAACCCCCTCTTGACCCCATTCACTCCCCCTTCCACTTCATCACTGCCTTTTTCCCTCTTTTTCTTTCCCCATTCACTGCCTTTTTCTCTTTTTCTGCCCTTTTCTCTTTTTCTCTATTTCATTCTCTTTTTCTTTTTCAACTTCTCTCCGTTCCCCTCCTTCCGTCTCCCCGCCATCCTATCGCTGTCTCCTTTCCTCTGCAGCGGCCTGTACGCTACACAGCCAATAGAGAAAGGACACGTGTTCCTTACTGTTCACAGGGATCAGGTCAGCGTGTGTCTGTCTCTGGAGATTTATCTCATAAGCCTCCTCCACTTCCCCCACTTCCCCCACTTCCTCCACTTCCCCCACTTCCTCCACTTCCCCCACTTCCCCCACTTCCTCCACTTCCCCCACTTCCCCCACTTCCCCCACTTCCCCAACTTCCCCCACTTCCCAATGCCTCTGCTTTGTTTCTTCCCACCCAATCCAACGTTTCATCAATAACATTGAAATTAACTCTACTGTAACTGCTATTATTGCCATTTTTATAGCTGTTATTGTTATTATGGACCTTTGAAGCCTTACTCACCCCCATTCTCTGTTCTCTACCTCCTGTCATCTCTCTTTCTCCCCTACTTCTCTTCTCATCGCATCCAAAATAGTCCTTTGGACAAACAATCCCCAAAAGCATACACTCATCCCTGACCTCGCTTATTGAGACGTCTCAAAAGTCCCCAAAAGCATACACCCATTTCTGACCTCGCTTCTGTTCTCAACCCCCTCTCTCTATTCTCCTCCTACCTTCTTTCATTTGCATTCAACTCTTCCACCCTCCCAATCACCCCATCACCCCTCTTTCCAACAGATGATAACGGGTGACTCCCTTCCTCCACCCCTCGCGTCCCTCCTCCCTCCCTCACTCTCCGTGTGGGCCCGCATTGCCCTCGTCCTCCTCCTCCGCCCCTCCCCCTCTCATTCCGCCCAGCACCAGCAACAAGAGCAACAACAGCACGACGACAAGCACCACCACGACAACCACCACCAACACCACAAACAACACCACGAGTGCTGGCAGCCGTACATCTTGTCGCTCCCTCCATTCAGGGCCGTTGATTCCACGGTCAGTGCTCGCAAACCAAACAACTAGCCGTGTGTGACTGTCGAGTCAACAGCAGCTGAGGGAGCCGCATACAGGAGTCATGACTTACGTGGTTTTTGAGTCGACTCAATAGACTTCTGAGTCGAATAAAAAACCCCATCCGTACAGGAGCCATGACTTTACATGGCAGCTGCTGAACACCTCACCCACCCCTTTTCTCCTTCCCTCCCGACTTATCGCTTCCAAGACTCCCGACTCACTCATGACTTTTCTCCAACTTTTGTTCTCCTCCCGTGTCCTCTCTCTCCCCCTCCCCACCTGCCCACCAGATGTGGTGGGGGAAGCGTGAGAGAGCCATGCTGCTGAAGGGCCCTGACCTATGAAGGTGCCTCTTGAGTTGACTCAAAACACACCTGCTGCTGGTGAGGCTCCCGGCCTACGAATGCTGCTGGAAGAGATTCGAGGGATTGTTGGACCCACGATTGCCAGACCCACGATCGTCAGATTCGTTTCTCCTCCTCCCAACACCCCCCTCCCCCATCTCCCCTTCCCCAATCTCCCTTCATCAGGTGTGGTGGGGGCAGCACGAGAGGGCCATGCTGCTGCCATCGCTGTACAACGACACGCGAGACCGGACGGCTCTGATTCAATCCGAGTTTGCTACCATCCAATCGGTAACACACTGCTGATTGCCCTTGCGGGCTTGCCTTTTGTAGCTTGCAGTTCACAATTCAAAGCAGCATATCGCTCACAGCTCACACCTCTCTCATCCCCCTCTTTCTTGCTCCCCCCCGTTTGCCGCCCCCCCGTTTGCTGCCCCCCGTTTGCCGCCCCCCCGTTTGCTGCCCCCCGTTTGCCGCCCCCCCCCGTTTGCTGCCCCCCGTTTGCCGCCCCCCCCCCCCCCCCGTTTGCCGCCCCCCCCGTTTGCTGCCCCCCGTTTGCCGCCCCCCGTTTGCTGCCCCCCCCCCCCCGTTTGCTGCCCCCCGTTTGCCGCCCCCCCGTTTGCCGCCCCCCGTTTGCCCCCCCCGTTTGCCCCCCCCCGTTTGCT